TGGTGGGTGTGGCAGGGGAAGGATACTGTAAAATCCCCATTCCCCTCCCACTCCTGGGTGAATGTTACTGTAAAATCCCATTCCCTCCCCTCCCCACTAACCTGCTTTCCATTTCCATTCTCCTGTACAGGGCAACAAAAGAAGACCCAGCTGATTAGCTGGGACTCAGGAGGCAGAGAATAGATGCGGGGTGGGGCCAGTCAGAGGTGGTATTTGCCAGTTCTCTGAACTACTCAAAATTTCGACTATCGGTTCTCCAGAACTGGTCAGAACCTGCTGAATACCACCTGACTGTTATCTTCCACCAAAGTGGTACCTATTTACTCTCATTTGCATGCTTTTGAACTGCTACGTGGGCAAGAGCTGGGACAAATACTAGGATCTTGCCCTGTCATGCAGCACTTGGGTTTCCAACCTAGCCTGACAGCTTTCCAGATAAAAGCATCTTTAACTGCTGGGCCATCTGATATAACCAAAGTGAAGTATAATGCATGTGAAGATTCATCCCAGAGAACACCAGATTGGGGAAGGCTAAGGTCGACTGGGATTAATTGTTATAAAGACAAATTCTTAAATTTACACGAATTGAGTTCACGGACCAGACTATGCTGTGTTTTGCTTGACCATATTTTACTGCATAAAACACAGGAGTCTATATCTAATGATGCACTAAGTCAAAACTAAATCTTAGTACAGTGTATGAACTGAAATATAAACTACCTAAAGTAAATTTAAATTTAAATTTTCACACGTTCAAGGCCAATGAAACTCATTGGCTTCTAAATGATATTACTGAACGATGCAAGAGCACCGCCTATTGGCTAGACAGCATTTATTGTTTACATTTAATTCACAGCACTAGTCCTTTTTTTAAAAAGTGACAATAATTTTTGAAACAATTGTGGCCCTTTCAAGTTTGAACTGCTGTGACTATACTCAGCTAAATCATTTTACTCCAAAGCTAAAAACAAATGAATAAGAAGCATAAATGAAAACTAAATCAACTGTGTATGTGTATTTACAAGTACAAAACTTAACTTTGCAAAATATTATTTTGTATCGATTTATGGTGCAATGTACATGAAATAATCTCTTTATGTATTGCTTAAGTCTTTAATGTCTTGCTGTGACTTTCATTTTCAGATATTTTTCTGTGGCTGCTAGAGACAGTTACAGAAAGTGGAGATCTTAGATTCAGCAAGTTCTGATACTTATTCAAAATCTATTTCCATACAGGAACAATTAAATGTATTTATATAGAAATGTGGTTACAAAGACTGACCATACAGATTAGCTGGCTCCAATGCTAATAAACATGTTTGTTAGCTGTTATTGGCATTTTTAAATGGGAATGTCCCAATAAATTAAAAACAGCATCTTAATTCTCTTATTTTTCCTGGTAGCACCATGACATCAAATGCAGCACATTGACTTATTGACATCTGACCTCCAGAAAAATGAAATAAGCTTGACTCTATCCGATCAAAAATCCTATTAATGCAACGTGTCTCATGTTGGCTAATCAGATGCCTCTAGGAAGCTCACAAGCAGGATAGAAATCAACAGCCATTTCCAATAAGTCCTATGTAGAGAGACGTTGCTAGCTGCCATAGTTAATTTGACCATGATTTTATATAGTTTCTTCTTAAAAATTATCCATTAACCAAATTTGTGGTAGGGAGTTGCGTAACAGTTTATTACTGACACTTTAAATTTCTAAGCATTTTTTGTTGCTGTGCAGGCATCAAAGATGACCTCTCATTAGAAGGTAGAGATCTACTGAAGATTCCTTTGTGATGCTTTGTTGCCTAGAGGAATAGAAGCTATGCCCATTCAAAGCAATGGTTTCTGACAATAGCCATTTAGCATAGTTGTCTACTGATACAAGTTTCAAAAAATGAAGAAAGTATCTTCATTGATACTTAATACAACAAGAATTCTTACAAAAGAATTTGTATGTATAAAGACTGTATTATCTAAACCATATCTAAAACAAGAACTTACTGAAAAATTTACTTTTAAAATGCACATTTTCTCAAGAACAAGAGTGGTAGTGCCACATTTCTCCCCAAGAGGGCAAACTTTCATTACATTTTAGCTTGCTACTAAGAAATAAAATGACAATTACTACCGCGAGACTGTAGTTAAAAAAAATAAAATAAAGTGTATGTATGTTTTATGTAAAAACTATTCCAAAAAGGTTCAACAAAATGTGAAGTGAATAAAAGTTTGTCCTGAGAAAATTCATTTCTGAATCAAGATGGTGTCTGTGTTATGGTAAAGATGGCTTGGTTTCTGATAAATTTGCACTGATAGTTTATCAGTGATATTCCAGAAAAACATTCCCATGCCAGAGAATTCTGTATCTTTCAGGGTAGAGACTCTGAAGAATAATTACTAAAATTTCAGGAATAAAAATCAAGCAACAAAGTCTAATATATTGAAGGTTATGCATCTCAAATACATATAGAATACCATAAGGACTGCAAGATTCACCAACTGGTATAACATTGCTAGAAAGGTATATGCTTCCGAGTATGTAGCATTCAGAGGTACAAGCAGGCTTTCATTTACAGGACATAGGTGAGTTTAGGAAGACTTGGAGATACTCGAGTTTAGATAACCTGCCCACTTTCATTCTCCTTTTGCTTTTTTCTGTTGAGCCATATTTCTGAATCTTAATTGCCTTAAGGTCATTATAGCCCAGTGATGGCTAACCTTTTCCATGTTGTGCCAAAAGTGTGTGCGCACACAGGTGTGCGCTTGCGTGCCTGAATCCATGACACAATGTGTGTGACCCCTGCGTGCTACTCCCACTCCATGCACCTCTGCGCTTGTGCATGCAGCACCCCCCACGCTTGACGCCCCCACACAGATACCCAACGATCAGGCAGATACCTGGGCTGGTGGTGGGCATGACCTCTCGTATGCTGGCAGAAATGGCTCTGCATGCCACTTTTGGTTCGCCATCACGGTTATAGCCTGATTTCTTCCCACATGACCTAGAAAAAAATGGCGCTGAATCCTAGTTTCAGATGTATATGCTGTTCTATTTGGAGTCCTGCGAGTTGGGTGGTTTCTCCTACCCCGTATCTTTTTAATAGGAACAAGTTGCTATAACTTGCCCAGGAAAGGTGGCTGATTTTAATACTTTTGTCAGTCTTTTCTGAAATGATTTGTGAAAATGCAACTGTTTAATGGTGGGATTCCAAATTGAGTGCTACCGGTTCTACGGGTTGTGCTCTGTGAGTCAGCTAAGAATCAATGGAATAAAGGACGCACGCGCCTAATGCGCGCTTCACACGTGTGCGCTCAAAGATCGCCCTCTTGAGTTGAGCTGTTGACAATATGCTCTGCTGTGTGAATCAGCTTAGCTAAAAAATCAGTGCAATAAAGGATGGGAAAGAACAGGGGTGCGTGGGCGGGGCCAGCCAGAGGTGGTATTTGCCAGTTTTCTGAACCTGCCGAAATTTCCACTACCGGTACATCAGAACTGGTCCAAACCAGCTGAATATCACTTCTGAACCATTCCCTTTCCCTCAGTTCTTTCATTCCACCTCCTTTCTTCTCATGGAAAAGTGAGAAAGGATAGAGATGATCACTAGGTGCCCTTGTGGTTATTTAAGGAAGTACAGCACTTTTCACAAAACTGCACCTCCTAATCTACACCAATGGAGAAGACTGTCAGAAAGGTCTTCACAAGAGAACGTATATTCCTAGCATTCTACAAACACTACCGGTGCCTTTTAGGCAGCAAGAAATTCAGCTAATCCAGAGGAATGCTTAAGGTCAAGATGGGGCTTGCTGATGTAGGCTTGCTCTCCATCTAGAAGCACAAACTCCCCATACAACAGTTGCATTAATAGTGCTGGCAAATCTGTGGTAGTCTTGCACCAGAACTTTTCAAAATTCAAAATATTGAATTTGTAAATTAAAAAGAATGCCCTTAAAATTATCAACAGAGTAGCTTTACAAGCTTCAAGTGTAGAGATATACACATATAGGGATTCCATGAGTGCTAACCAAGCCACACCATTCTGTGGTTAATGGTCATTCTAAATTGGGATTAAAGGGCTTGGTATCCATCAAATACTGAGAGCATTTATGTGGAAGGCAAATAATGAGTTTGTTAATGGACATTTTGAAGCACTGGCATTTACAGAACTTTGGATTCAAAATTAGACCAATACTGCTAAAATTCAAAGTAGGTTCTTTCATTATACATTAAGTAATGCTTTTATAGCATCTTCTAATGTCAACAAATGAATAATAATGAAGTCTGTCCTTAATATTAAACATAATAGGGATTGAATGGATCTAGAAAATGTAAGCCACTAATAAGAATGCCTAGCTGATCTGGTTGGTTTGATTTTGGATATTTGATGGGAATCTAGACAATTGTGAATTATTTTGTGAAATATTAGGAAATAAAAATGAGTTAATGGAGTATGCAAATCTGTTTATACAGTCCATAAATAAAACCAGCAGTTGCACCAAATAAATATTCTATACCAATCCACTAGGGTTGACTTAATCTTGATTTACTAAATGAGGCACAAATTCACTTGTTTCCAACATCTCTTAACTAAAACTAAGCAAAACCACATCATAGCTTATAGCACATTGTGTGCAATAGGTCACTAGTTTATCAGTTGCCCAACATAAAGGTTCATTCAGAACGATTGATTGAGATGCAATATAAGCCAAAGCACTTTAGTTATTCTGGCTTTTATTTTGTTGCTTCTTAGTCCACACAGCTGGTATAAAATCAGAAAAGCAAAGAGAAATAATTGCATAATAAAGCCTGGAGTCTTAGGATTAGACAGCACTGCCTTTACTGCTCTGGGCAGTCACCTGTACAGTTCATTCCCAGACATCTCTGGAAGGACAGAAAAAGGTTACAGAGCAGCTTTGGTGGGGGGGAGGGGCAGCAGATTCTGTAAGCTCTATAGGTTGCTTACTTCCCTTCTGCCCACGAAGGGAACAAGAAAAAAAAAATCCTTGGTTATAAGTGCTTTATTAAAAAAATAGCAATAATAATGGATAGCGACTTTCCTACATACAAAAGCAGTTATAGGTTGTATATATTACACAGAATTATTTATCATTCCTATTCCTTGGCTTTTCTCAAAATGGTTACCCCAATTTCCAGTGAGCAACGGTTAAATGGCTTAGCGATATAAGGAATGGTAAATAGATAGCACCATTTCACGTATTTGGTATTTGATTTCAGAGGATTTAGGGAAAGGAATTAGGGTGGACCATAGAGCTTAGAAAGCGTCATTCAACTTTTCTACTTTAGCTTATTCTCCAGGAAAGAGAGAAAAGTCTTCTCTGAAGATCAGCCGGCATAGCTGAGGGAGTACTACTAAGCTAGTTAAAAATCACAGTTTTAATTTTAGATCATCATCCCGCCCGTAGTGTTCCTTTCAACTGACTCAGCTTTCATGCTAGCCTTAGCTGATTTAACATATGCAAACATTTCCTTCCTTCTGAAGACTGAGGCCTAATTCAGGTTCTTTGCATCATTTCTGTCCTACAAGGAACTCGGGTGATCATACCTGGTGGCTTTAAGGAGGTGGTAACACTGGCAAGGAGCTTTGGGTTGCATCACTGAGGCAATATACCTCACTGAATCCTCCACAACTTGGTTATCATCCCAAGCAGTTGTTGATAAGCTGGGCTTACCCACCCTTAACACACCATCTGCTTTTAGGTAGAAGTTCCTCCCCTTTCTGTGTAGCATTTGGTCTCCATCATTTGGTTAAAAGGGCCACAATGCAGACATGGGCTAAGGCAGGTGCCAGGGTACCAGGCCATTCTTAGCTGGAAGGGCCAGATGGAGGGTTCCTCAAACTGGGCTTGGCTTGAGGGTGACAGTGGAAAGCTTGGGAGGAGGGATCCACTTGCTTCCACAGCATAAAGATAAGGAGGAAAAAGCGGCACTCTCATTACATTGTTAAGAGTTAAGAGTTCTTAGGCACTTTTTTTTAGGCTTTAGATATGGTGGCAGGTCAACAAACAAAAGCAAACAGTACTCTGTACATATATGTAAAAAGTGTTATAAATAGGCTTTTTAAACCATAGATACTATATACATCTCCAATGAATACAGTAATCCTTCTTTCAGCTCTCTTTCTTCCTTTTTTCCCCCTTAATAACTTTGTGGGTTTTGGAGGGGAAGGGAGTAGGTGGGAGGGTTGGTGGTTTGGGGTGGGGAGAGAAAGTGTTTGGTTTTTCATTTTCTATTTTGCTGACACCTCTTGCCCTGAGGGCTCTAAGTCTCAGTGACCTCCCTTGACTTTTCACTCGCGTTTCCTCAAGATGACATAGATCACCCCGCTGAGGATAGCCAGAGGGAAAGCCACCCAGGACAGAATGTAGGCAAAGCCAAAGGAGGCATTGTCTGAGGAGGGATGCCACTCTGTGTGCCTCACGGTGAAGATGGCCGCAGCACTCATCACGCACAGGCCTAAGGCAGAAGAGAAAGAGAGAGAGAGAGAAAGAAAAAACATGAGCAACCAACCAAGTCCATAACTGAGAGACCAAAGAACAAGAAAAATACTTTAGTTTAGGAAACTCCCTCCTCCCCTCAATTCCAACCTTCTGATTTCAAGAAATGGTAGGAAGTTGGCAGCCATGTTTAAGGCATTGTTATCTCTTCCATTTTGGCAGAATAAAAGCCATGTTTTCAAAACATCCAAATTTTCTTTAGGGACAACCTAATTGTCCCAGCAGTTACAGAAGATCTAGTGGTGTAATGCAGAGGATACTCTGTACTGTTCAGTTGAAAAAAAGTCCTTCATTTGATCAACAGATAGGTGCTCTTTTTAAGTTCAGGTTGTCACTTTTAAGTAGGAACCACAATCTGGTTGGAGCTCTGCTCTGCAATCCCCAGCAGATTTGTTAATCCTACCTTGTCCTTATCAGTAAAGCCAAGCCTGACGTTTCTATTTTTCCATCCTGCTGCCTCCAGTATTTAAGCTCCTGCGATCAACATTTAAGCTGCTCAAATCAGGCCTCTGTGTAGTAATACCACTAAGGTCAGCTTTTTTGTATTGCCATCTCAGCTTGATGGGTTTTCCCTTCCTTTTGCTTTTTCTGAAAGCCAGCATCAGAGTTTGCCAGGACTACACAATGCCCCTTCTATTCACGGTCCAGAACAAGGCTTTTCCATTGATCTCTGCAATTCTCCAATCTGCTCTATGGGCCACCAGTTATTTCTGTTCCTACAATGTGCCTCAGGACCACCTACACCTCAATGCAGTAATATTTGAGCCCTTCTTTCCCTCTACACTGTCCCCTTTGTTTGCAGAAAATGCAAGAGTAGGAAGGTGTTGAATTCATGAACTGCTGATGTAGGTCCCATTCTCTGGGCCAACAAATAGACACCCACAACCAGAGCCCACATTCTGCAAGCAAAACCTATTGTCTCTCTGCTTGGGTAGAATGGAATAAAGTAGAGCAATGGACATTTTTTAAATCATCTACAGTCTTTAGAGAAGAGAGGTATAGTTTGCCTGTGGAAAGGGCAGCAGAGAGAGGATCTGTAACTTTTAAGCAGAAATACTCAACCTCAATTTTGGCATGTGTCAAAGGGGAGGAGAGTTGTTTCACTGGGCGATTCAAATATTTGTCTTATATTTTGCTTGCAGGAGGAACCCAAAAGGTAGCACTTGGGATTATTTTCCTACTGTTCTAGGAGTATGTATACACAACAGGAGCACAGGCTGCAGGCCTCTACTTCAGATCCATGATGATGCTGAAATTCACCTCTCATATTTCTCTAACTATTGCTACAAAACTGGAAGTACATATTGACAGTTGCCTTCCGCTTCATCAATATGCTAGTCAGCCATCTTTCCACAGGCATTCTGTCCCCTTGCTTTTCCAACTGATAGCACAAATTAGCTTGTAACTGGGGCCCTTCTGAATGTCCTTGTATGGAAGTAATCAAAGATTCTGGAGCTGTGCATATCTTTGCACATAAGTTATAAGCCATAGATTTGAGCTGGGGAACCATCAAATAAAAGTCAAAGGACTTTTTAATATTTGTTTTTGGTCTAAGACTTCCATCTTATTGGTTGCAAAGTTAAGAAGAGGAATTCCTTCCATCACATTTCTGCCAAGTTCTCCTACTTGGATTATTAAATTGCTAATAGAAAAAATGAATTTGTTTTAAAAAGAACAGAATTAATATTACTTATAATATCAGGTGATCCAAATTCATAATTTAATACAGGCATCCCCAGTCTGTTTAACTCTTTCACTCAAATTTGTGTCAGTCATAATTCTTACTTACAAATGGGCTGCCTTTTATTAAAAATGGTGGACAATATTGTCCTGAAAACAGGCTGTACATTAAAAACTCAAAACTTCAGCAATTTTTTGGCTTGAGAAAGAAGAACACCATCTGCCATTTTTAATAATATACAGCCTGTTCACATCTAGAGGCTGTCCTTAAGTTAGACATTATTCACCTAGGAACTGCCTGTATTTGGATTCCAACTGGAGAAAGTCATTGGGCTATGATGGCTGGAGTTCCTTGTGGGTGTTCAACATGTTTGTGTTGTTGTCTGGTTCTGCCATTTTGTTACTAGTATATGCTCTTTCTTGCTCCCTTTTGCTATATATAGTTTTATTTTTTTTATTCCATGAGCGCTCACAGATGGAATTGGGTGGTCCCAAAGTCAAATGAAATAAAAAATATGCTCATAATTTGAGATTGTTATCTCAGTCACATAATCCCTTACCAAAATCCAAGAAGCTATTCACTCCTGATGCTTTATAGCATCAAGGCTTATTTTTGATAAAGTCACTTCATTTTACACATAGTAATAACAGACGCAAATGTTCTAAAAAGTCAGGTGCTTAGTTCTGAGATCTTCATCCACATTCTTCCACCAAACAGCTTATATATGCGTATGCTCTTGAGATTATCTGAATCAGCTTTGTTTCTTCTGGGAAAACACTGTATAAGGAGTAAAATCAGACTACTTTCTCATTCTGTTCCTTTCAGCACGGGGGTTGAATTATACAGCAACCACCACCACCCCCCATCAGCCATTGTACCATTGCTCTTCCTAGGCTGAGTCATAGAACAAAAGGTTGATTTAGGGCAGAGGCTTTTCAAAATAAAATACTGGATGGCTTGAAACCAGTGCTGCCTCACTGACTCCACCCAGGAATGCTTTTCAGATATTCCACCCAAGAGAAACTGAGTTTCATTCCCTCACATTGATCCTGCCTATGAAATTGCAAATAGGATAAACATGGGTGAGGGCCAGTCTTAATCCTACTACAAAGAAACATGAGCGTTCTATAATTCCAGCAATGATTGCAAGGTATAGATAGAATGTTTACAAATGCACCATCATCTCCCTACTACCTGGGGAATGCTACAAAGAAGCATCACCAGGAATTTTGAAAAACAATATATTTCCTACCCCCTCCGGGTTTTTTTTGGGAGGGGGAGGGGCCAAGGCAGCTTGCATTCTGGATATATTTTTTTCTTTTTAAGGACACAGACATGAACAACTGTAGCTAGGTTGGAGCACAAGGAGATGAAGGGTAGTAACACAGAACTTTGCTCCTAACACAAAGTGTACTGAGCAGCATATAACACTCCCAGCCAGATCCTACCACAAGCAAACTCATTGGTTGAATTGGCAACTCATGCTTGATAGTACTTCAAGGCTGAAAATGAAATATGATAGTAGCTGGGAAGTCTGCCCTGAAAAAAAGCCAATGTATGGGTGACACAGCCCAATGTATTTGGAAGGCATCAGAGTAGGGAAACCGGCTATATAATATTCAGCTCATTTTAATACAACAGGTTAAATCACTGGCCCAGAATGCAGCAGGAATGTACATTGGATGAATGTTGTTCCTTCTAGTATGTTAGAAGTAGGCAGGCTTTATTCCATTCACATGTTCTCCTGAACAGATGGTAATCAGTCCAGTCCAATTCAAATTTTTGTCCCTGGATCTATATTCATGTCTTAATACTTCAATACTTCTTTTTAAACACCTTCAAAAGAAATTAAACTATTTTTGGAGGGACAGCATAATACATGGTTCTTGATATTAAAAGACAAGGAAAGAAATAGCTATTTCAGGATTTCATTTTCTTCTTAAAATCTAGCTTTGGCTGGCAATTTATTTCTATTTTTAATTGGCCAGTAAATATACTGTACATCAAATCCATAGCTGAACATTGCTCTGAATACTGGTTGGTTTGATTCCTAATTTAAATAGTTCTCAAATTAATTCATTTAAAAGTCCATTTCAACAGAGACACTAGAATTTTCTTATTGGGTTTTAAGCAAGATGTTTTGATAAGGGTGCAAACAGAGGCAGTAGGAATAAAAATGTGTAAGAGAACTCCAAGCACATGTTTAGTTTCATGGATTTATAAACTCTCTGAAAACCTATTATTATAAGATACAGAGATGGGATGAGGCACTCATAATGGGACAAAAACTACTGTTTTCTTTCACAATACAAAATACTGAAAAAGATGATACAAGGAAAACCTGTATCTTGATCTTATTGTTATCATCCCAAATCAATTCACTGCAGGATTATTTCTTCAATGAAAATGGATTTAAATTTATCACACTGTTCCAATATACATTGGTAGTAGACAGGTGTTTAGGTCCATTCTAACCACCATTATACCAGCACCAAAATTTTCAAATAGAAATGCTAAAGAATATTAATTGTTGAATCTCCAGATCTATTATCCATATCCGATTAGCAACTGAAGTTGAAATCTTATATATTAATATGGCAGAAATCCTCTTGAAATAAGTGCACATTTCAAAGTGGATACACAAGGGTGTTTTGTTAGTAAGCTACTGAAGTTGGCTCAAGATGATGAATGGGATTTGCATCCACACAATGCAACCTATCTAAAGAACACCAAGTTGTGTGACTTTGCAAGAGATTCCTGCTTGACTGGAGTCACCCTGCTTTCTATTATTAGACATGGCTTTCTTCTCTTTGCAAGCATCCCAAAGCACACGTTTCTCCACTCTACTTACCAGCAAGGATCTGGAAAATACCAGTAAGGTAGAAACGTCCACCTTTAGTGAGTGTGAAGAGCTGGCAGAAGAACAGGAATAAAGACTTAACACTGAAGATGACAGAGAGTATCATCAAAGCTTGGACAGATTGCAGCCATTCTGGAAAAGAACAAATGAAAGAAAAGTCAAGGACAATATTGACCAGATAATATTTCTACTGGTGCATATACTCAGGAAATTACGGAAACATTTCCAGCTCTTCCAGCTGTAGAATTCAACCAACCATAAAAATAAATTAAGATACCTGCTTTCTTCCAAATTTTTGGAATTTATTTTTAGACCTGTTCCTTGGTTTGGTTTTTGTTGAGATAAGCAATAGTCTGAAAATATAGCATATTTTGTTTGCAAAACTATAGACATCTGATTACAAAGATAAGAGTTTGCAAAGCTCAGGTATACAAGACATATTATGAAGTGAGTACTTTCAGTTCTAGTTGGGACAGGAGAAATGAGGATTATTATGTTGCAGTCCAATACCCCAAAAGGGGCTTGTTTGGGATAGGTGAGATTAGGGGCATAAGTCTCTCCATATAAAAAAGATATATCAAGTCTTCCTAGGCATAGTTGCTGAAAGAGCTTGTAAATCCAGTCCTGAATATACAGTGAGGATCACTGGCAAATTGCTGTCACACCCTTATTGTTGCTATCATCCAGCAGCAAGAGTTGTACCTGCTAAGACATGAGCCACATCACTGATGAAATGCTAGGAAGAAGTACTGTCCCAGACTATAACAGTGGGAAAAAAAAGGGTATGCAGGAAGGCTGCAGAAGGCTATCATCAAGGCTGAGATGTCAATAAGTGGCAAACATTAATACCCCTGTCCTCTTTTCGACCTTTACAGGAGACATTGGACATTGCTGCCAAAAGGATAACAAATTTACACTATAAACTCACTCAAAGCCACCCTGGATATTTGAGTCAGAGGCTATTTGTGAGCCTCGTGGGTGGCTAAATGGCCTTGCCAAACAAACACTATAAAATGCCACAACTGTGCTGTTTTGATGCTGGAACATTTTTAAAAAGACGTTATGTAAAGCAGAGTTGACTCCGACTGGTCTAAAGAGGGAGAATGGAATTAGCTCAACTCCACGGACCACTTCTACCTATTTAAAGCTATGTGGAAATTAGCAGTTCCCACAAAAGGATCACTGGATTTGTACTAACTACTTTTTTGTGAATTCCCTTTTGCCTTTGTTTATATGATAAAACAAAATAAAGGGAAAAATAACCAAAGGTTTGATAAAATAAAATTGTACAATAGCCTTTTTAGCTCTTATTTTTATTAAGCCTAGAAAATTTAAAAAAGGACAAAACAATGATCTGCATTCATGCACATTCTCTGTAACAAACCCCATCAGGGACTTTCCATTTTTTTCCCTCCAAAAAAATGAAGCAGAAAAAAGACCCTTTAAAAATAAGATGAATCTTCTAATAGTTGAGGAGCATATGAGAGGCACATACTTTCTTATTTATTTATTTCTATCTAGGGCATCCAAAATTTCTTTGTTCTAGTTCTGTGTTCAAATTTGGCAACTTTAAGATGTGTGAACTTCAGCTCCCCAAATTCCCCAGAAAGTCCACACATCTTAAAATTTCCAAGTTTAGAAAACATCAGAATAATCCCAATAGATTTTTATACCATATGTACATCAACCTTTTTGTTTGCATCCTTTTTAACAAGACAAGAATTTGTTACTGTTCTTATCTAACGTTGCATCATTCAGTGCAAATGTCATGCATTGTACTTGTGTCATGATGCACAAAGGACAAACTTAGGACAAAATACATGCAAAAATATAACACTATTCAGGTTTGTTACAGATGCCACTACCAGTGGCACTTTGCTCTTTTTTATCCAGAAACTCAGATGTAGAAATCAGCTTTCACAAGTACAACTGTTTACTTTCTGAACTAAAAGTAATTTAAAATCTGAATTTAAAATCTAGGTGTCCAGATTAGCCTGGAGTTCCAGAAATGTGGTGAGACGCCCACACAAAACACTACAATGTGACAGCATCCAAGAGCTACAGTTCCCACATATTATACATTCCAGCAAGGCTTGATCAGTCTGTGTAAGCATTTATTCCACCTTAGCACTTTTCATATACCTTGATTCTATCCAATTCATAGGAAATCTGTTGTTGCTTTGGGAACTACACTTTGATGTGTCCTGTAACTCTAGATAGCGTTTTTCATACATAGCACAAACTACATTCTTCTAGAAGTGCCATTGCAAAAAGCTATGACTGCTGTATGTGGTACATCAGCAGACTCCATTTTTTGTCATGCTGAGCCCAAAAGGTTCACCATCATTGTTCTAGAAGAAAACTCTATGACTGTAGGACCTACTTTGACAGGGTCATATATAATGCATTTTCATACATAGTCATTCATACAAATAAACTGTAAAAATACATAATAGTGGACATATGCTTGAGCTGTTTTACATCTGTGCCCTCTTGGCTGGTTAAGGCTGACTGGGAGGGGACACATGATGGGGTTCTATTTAGGGAAGGTTCTTGAGAGAATCACATGACAACTTCAAAGGTAATAAGATAAATAAAACCTCTGGTAAGAGAAAGTGGAAAAAAGAAGCAAAAAGTAACAGCTTTGGATTACTCAGATTACTTGGTGATTTTGGAATTTTGGTTATTAGATTTTAAATGACTAAAATCAATCGGGTGGTTGTTTAAAAGTTTAAAATGGCATCACTCCTTGAAGAGTTAAAAATGGAACTTAAAAAACAGAAAGAAGATGCACAAGAGGGAAGAGGACCTTTTGGCTTCATATTTCAATTCTTAGAAATGGAGATCCTGAACTATGAGAAACAACAAGAAATGCTTGCAAAACAAGAAGGGAGGAACAAAGAAGAAGCCATCTTTAATGACCAAGCAATTCTATGTGGGGTAAAAAAGGGAAAGGGGGGAAAGAGTGAAAAACTTAAGATCTGAAAAAAACAACCAAAAAAAGAATAGCTTGAAAAGCAATTACAATACTAGGAAGAAGCAGAAGAGAGGATTACAGAAGGGAGAATTAGAGAGACAAGGGGTCAAAAAGGGGAGGGAGAAGAGGGGGAAGATGGAAAGGAAAAGAAGTTATAAAGGACAGAAACAGGATATAGAGAAACAGGGAAAATGTACAAGGAATAAAAAGGTATTTTTTTATCCCTATAGCATAGCATTGTATAACATCTGACACAACAAGCTGGACTTATTTTACTGGCATTAATACATTGGCACGTAATTCATTAATTATTGCGGTTATAAATGGCTAACATATTCTAACCATGATTATACATGAATATAATTCTTGTTATCTAAAACTGGCTGTCTTTAATCATTTGTTTAAAAAAAACTTTGTATGTACAGTTATCTTTACAACCTCTTTTTTAAAGGACTGTCCAATTTTCTTGTGCTCTTCAATCAAAGGCTAAGGACAAACATTTTTACACTGCATTCTATATTCTAAATTGATGCCTAGAAATATTAAGATGAAAAGCAGAGACACATCCATATAGTAGATCGGTGCTGAATAAGAATAAGAATAAATCTTTTGTTAGTGATGCTCTTCCCCTTATTTCCAAAACACACCAACATTCCTATCATATCATGTTTGACAGACTAAACTATAGTAATTAGTTAAGAAAACTCATTTTCCAGAAAGTTGATCCATACAAAGAAGATCATGATGATCAAAATTAGAGAGATAATATTGCTTAAGAATTTCAGTTCAGTCTCACTGTACTTTTTTTTTTTCATAAGTAAAGACCAGCTGTGTTTCTGGTGTCCAGATTAAATCTCAATTCCCACACATACAGTGTATCTCATGACTCAAGATACTTCAGCTGATTGTCCATCAGAGCATCCTGCCTATTAGAGTTTATGTTGAAACAAATGAAAGCAAATTCCAAACATAACTAAAGAGCAAAACTATGAAGATGAAGAATGCTCTAAGCAGCTTTCGTGCAAGGAATTTGGAAGTAGTGTTTTTTTTCCTGTTCCATGTCCAGTTTCTCTTCTTGTGCAATAGGATCTCAAGTATCATAATGGGTATCTCTTTGGGAAGAAAGGATATTTGCTTTATGAGTAGTCCTTGATTAGAGGCTGGTGTGGTATGAATGTGCCTGTGTGTATGTGTGTGAGAGAGATCAGGGAGATTCCTTGAGAAGATGAAAAAGTTCTGAATTGCAACATCAGGAAAAAGCTATGCCAAATTTTATGTTTCATTGTGTGGGAATTATTTTTCCATGATATGATCCCTTATAACCAGAGAAAAGGGATATATGCAACTAATGCAACAGTATGGGTGGGAAGGTTTTACACCTGCAAACAATGCTTCTAGTTGCCTCGAGACCTATGCAATCTGCCCTTTGCTACAAGTGAATCCCACAAGAGACAAACTAAGCAGACAAGTTCTTGTTACTGATCTACAAAAAAAAAAAAAAAATACAAGAATTGTACCTATTTTAAAGGAGAAACTGAACGGAATGCATTGAGAGAGGCATTCTACTGGATGCCAAACACTTGAAAGGGTTTTAATATCTTCTTTTCTAAAATAACTCAATTGCTGTTGTGGGTAAATTAAAGTACATGGTGGACATTTTACTTCAGGCCTTTCAACAAAGGAGCTCCTAAAAATGTAACTCTTAGCCATTAAGAGTTGTTAAAATGTCACTGTAGTAATACATAAAGAAAACATTTTCTTTGGTATTCTTTGGTATTTGGTAATTTTCAGATGTGTTGAATTTGCATCTACAATAATCAGCACTAACAATTCCACCAGGTTTATTGAACTAGTGCAGAGGTCTCCAAACTTGTCAACTTTAAGACTTGTGGACTTCAACTCCCAGAATTCTCCACCCAGCAAGTTTGGGGACCCCCGAACTAGTGTAACATCACTGAATACACTTGAAATGAATTAGTCATCTAATTCAACACTGAGCATGTGTCAGGCTTAAGAGTCTTGTTTTGTTTAGATCCCAGAGGTTCAAAACACACAAAACCAATAGCTGAAGAGAAAGTCATAGAGTAACTCATAAGTATTGCCAAATTATTGCCTATGATTTTGCCATCTGCACATGCAATAAAAGAATTACAGA